AGGGGGTGGAGCCAGCTGCTTACAGAGCCTGAACATTTCTAATGTTGTAGAGCAGCAGAGCGGCTCTATGCTAACATCTCTAGGCAGAGATCAGCGGTCAGCTAAACTTCCTGCATTATAAAAATATTTTCTTTTTATTTCTCATTTTCTTTATTGTCTTTAAACAATCTATAAATTGTTAAATAAAGGAGATTAACAGAATAAAATGAAACTTCAAACTTAGCCCAATGGCTGAGGGCCACCCTGTGGTCCCTGAGGGCCACCCTGTGGTCCCTGAGGGGGGTCTGTGTCAGCCTCTACGGGACCTAGCATACAGGCTAACCAGCAAAGCTGCACAGCTGAACTTTGACCTTTAATGTTTGCTGTATTTAAAGGGTGTCCTGCTGCTGGGTTTAGACATTTACCACCAGGGGTCAATTAATCATTCAACTGGCTTCAGGGGCCAAATGCTGAGAGGAGCTGGAGCTGAGCTGGAGCTGAGCTGAGCTGAAGCTGAAACTGAGCTGAGCTGAAGCTGAGCTGGAGCTGAGCTTAAGCTTTGTCCGTATCCGTCCCAGCTTCAGATCTGACATTCAGGCCAGTGATGTGGAATGACTGCAGTCCTCCTCGCTGCCATCTCCAGTCTAACTCAGCTGGATTATCTGCTGGCTCATCTGGACACTAGAACACTGAGGCTGACAGGTCAGCATCTTCCACTGAATCACTTCAAGCTTTTCATAACATCTTAACTCTGATGGATCCTAAAATCATCCTGGTCTAATTTTAGTTAATGTTTTGCTAATCATTTAGTCACCGTCTTTGGATCCAGTCACCTGTTCGCTTCAATGACCTAACATACGGTGACCATTGCAAGCATAAAAGCTGAAACTCAGTCTTGGCTAAAAAACGATTCTATGTATTCTATTTCTATATATAAAAGGTAATACCTACAACAAACGGCTGACATACAAGAGCAAGGAAGCAGAACTAGGCGTAGAAATCAATCTATGGGTTTCATTTGTTTCATTGTAATGAAAATGTTAAATAAAGAGAATAAAAAAACAAAAACACTTTGTCTTTCCTTAAGTTACAAATAAATATAGTTGGAAATATTAGCGACGACAAACAGACGGAAGAGTTTGATCATTAGAGCGGCTGTAGGACGGATGCTTCCTCACAGCAGAGCTAGCAGCGTCTGTTTGGACATGATGTCCATCTTCTAATGTCCTAATCATGATTTATCATCGAACAAAAAAACCACCGTCAAGGTTTTAATTCCATTTAATTCCAGGTTTGAGAACTAACAGCCTAGCTAGCGTTAAACTGTGTGTTTACCTCCAGAACTAAGGAACCAAATTTTATTTTTCAGACGCAACAGCTACCAGAGTTTCCCTATAGTGGGCCACTTAAGGGATTTTCTATTCTATTCTCTTTATTTTTCATTGCTGTGTCTCCTTTCCTGTTCATCTTCTATCAGTAGTTGCCAGCAAATACCTGGATGGTACCCAGCTAATGCCTGGATGGTACCCAGCTAATGCCTGGATGGTACCAAGCTAGTACCTGGATGGTACCCAGCTAATGCCTGGATGGTCCCCAGCTAATGCCGGGATGGTACCCAGCTAATGCCTGGATGGTACCCAGCTAATGCATGGACGGTACCAAGCTAATGCCTGGATGGTACCCAGCTAATGCATGGACGGTACCAAGCTAATGCCTGGATGGTACCAAGCTAGTACCTGGATGGTACCCAGCTAATGCCTGGATGGTACCCAGCTAATGCCTGGATGGTACCCAGCTAATGCCTGGATGGTACCCAGCTAATGCCTGGATGGTACCAAGCTAGTACCTGGATGGTACCCAGCTAATGCCTGGATGGTACCCAGCTAATGTCTGGATGGTACCCAGCTAATGCCGGGATGGTACCCAGCTAATACCTGGATGGTCCCCAGCTAATGCCGGGATGGTACCCAGCTAATGCCTGGATGGTACCCAGCTAATGCCTGGATGGTACCCAGCTAATGCCTGGATGGTCCCCAGCTAATGCCGGGATGGTACCCAGCTAATGCCTGGATGGTACCCAGCTAATGCATGGACGGTACCAAGCTAATGCCTGGATGGTACCCAGCTAATGCATGGACGGTACCAAGCTAATGCCTGGATGGTACCAAGCTAGTACCTGGATGGTACCCAGCTAATGCCTGGATGGTACCCAGCTAATGCCTGGATGGTACCCAGCTAATGCCTGGATGGTACCCAGCTAATGCCTGGATGGTACCAAGCTAGTACCTGGATGGTACCCAGCTAATGCCTGGATGGTACCCAGCTAATGTCTGGATGGTACCCAGCTAATGCCGGGATGGTACCCAGCTAATACCTGGATGGTACCCAGCTAATGCCTGGATGGTACCCAGCTAATGCCTGGATGGTCCCCAGCTAATGCCGGGATGGTACCAAGCTAGTACCTGGATGGTACCAAGCTAGTACCTGGATGGTACCCAGCTAATGCCGGGATGGTACCCAGCTAATGCCTGGATGGTACCCAGCTAATGCCTGGATGGTACCAAGCTAGTACCTGGATGGTACCCAGCTAATGCCTGGATGGTACCCAGCTAATGCCTGGATGGTACCCAGCTAATGCCTGGATGGTACCCAGCTAATACCTGGATGGTACCCAGCTAATGCCTGGATGGTACCCAGCTAATGCCTGGATGGTCCCCAGCTAATGCCGGGATGGTACCAAGCTAGTACCTGGATGGTACCCAGCTAATGCCGGGATGGTACCCAGCTAATGCCTGGATGGTACCCAGCTAATGCCTGGATGGTCCCCAGCTAATGCCGGGATGGTACCCAGCTAATGCCTGGATGGTACCCAGCTAATGCATGGACGGTACCAAGCTAATGCCTGGATGGTACCCAGCTAATACCTGGATGGTACCCAGCTAATGCCTGGATGGTACCCAGCTAATGCCTGGATGGTACCCAGCTAATGCCTGAATGGTACCCAGCTAATACCTGGACGGTACCAAGCTAATGCCTGGATGGTACCCAGCTAATACCTGGATGGTACCCAGCTAATGTCTGTATGCTACCAAGCTAATGCCTGGATGGTACCCAGCTAATGCCTGGATGGTACCCAGCTAATGCCTGAATGGTACCCAGCTAATGTCTGTATGCTACCAAGCTAATGCCTGGATGGTACCCAGCTAATGCCGGGATGGTACCCAGCTAATGCCTGGATGGTACCCAGCTAATGTCTGTATGCTACCAAGCTAATGCCTGGATGGTACCCAGCTAATACCTGGATGGTACCCAGCTAATGCCGGGATGGTACCCAGCTAATGCCTGGATGGTACCAAGCTAATGCCTGGATGGTACCCAGCTAATGCCTGGATGGTACCCAGCTAATGCCTGGATGGTACCCAGCTAATGCCTGGATGGTACCGACTAATGCCTGGATGGTACCCAGCTAATGCCAGGATGGTACCCAGCTAATGCCTGGATGGTACCCAGCTAATGCCTGGATGGTACCCAGCTAATGCCGGGATGGTACCCAGCTAATGCCTGGATGGTACCCAGCTAATGCCTGAATGGTACCCAGCTAATGCCTGGATGGTACCCAGCTAATGCCTGGATGGTACCCAGCTAATGCCTGGATGGTACCCAGCTAATGCCTGAATGGTACCCAGCTAATGCCTGGATGATACCCAGCTAATGCCTGAATGGTACCCAGCTAATGCCTGAATGGTACCCAGCTAATACCTGGATGGTACCCAGCTAATGCCTGGATGATCCTGGATGGTACCCAGCTAATGCCTGAATGGTACCCAGCTAATGCCTGGATGATACCCAGCTAATGCCTGAATGGTACCCAGCTAATGCCTGAATGGTACCCAGCTAATACCTGGATGGTACCCAGCTAATGCCTGGATGATACCGACTAATGTCTGGCTAATTCCTGGATAGTACCCAGCTAATGGACAGTAGAGGGCCGAGCACGGTGACACATGGCCACCCTGTAAGCCCCGCCCCTAAAAACCTGACACAGGCATCTTCTACCCCAGTTTGAATGCTAACGCTTCAGCCCGTCTCTAAAGTAGCTTCTGACACGTTCAGAACGTTCCTGATGTTTCTAACGATTAGAAGAAACTAGCAGAGATCATTACGCCCTGATGTGACAGGAAGAACGCTCCGGAAGCAGAGGGTTCTCAGTGAACGTCAGCCGCTCATTCAGCACCGATACCCTCCCCTGTCCTTGATGAAAGAATGGGGACAGGGTGTTGCCATGGAGACCCTGCTCTGAAACGGTTGCCACAGCGATTAGAGGAGAAGCTGAGCCGAACCGGTTGTTAGGGCGACCACTCAGAGAGTGAGAAAGTGCAGCGTGATGGGGGGGGGGGGGGTGTGATGAACCCACAGTGAAAGGATGGGGGGGTTAAATGGAGAACGAATTCGGAAACTTTGCCTTAAATTCACACATTATGCTGCAAATAAAGCCCTGAACGCGTCCAAAGGACTCACACCTTTATCTATAGATTTCTGTTTCAGATCAGGTGAGCGGGTCAGCAGCAGTTGCCATGGCGATCAGATGGTTGAGACAGACTGATATTCAGCCATTAAACACAGAGCTCTGACTTCCTGCTCTTAGTGCAGAAATAGAAGGTTTTCTGTGAGGAAACATCAAATGAAAAGCTGTGATGGATCAGTGAGCACAGCTGACTCTCTACGGCCCGCTGGACGGGAATGCTCGTTAGCCGCTAGTTCTGTTTAGCCAAAAAGTGAGAAATCAGAGTCAATTATTTTCTGGAGTCAAATTTGGTAAAAAGAAATAAAAAAACCAAAACTACTGCAGAGTTTCTGTTTCAAATGAAAAAGCAAATGAATGGAAACTGGCTGCTAATGTTGTAAAAACTGAACCCAGTGAGTAAAACATGCAGCGATTCCCAGAACGGGCCTTAAACCGGACCCTGACTGAGCAGAGATCCAAAGCGACCCTGGATGGAGATGGTTCTGCCGGGTCTTACCGATCCAAACGTCGTTGTTGAACCAGGAGAGGTTCCTCTGGGAGCTGTCATAGTAACCAATCTTCTTATAACTGCCTCCTGCAACATTCAAAGGAGCAAAACAGGAAGTAATTACAGAGCGGATCTGGGTAATTTCTGCTGTCAACATGTTTTCACAGCGCCGGGATTAGTGACGGCTCAGCCCACGAGGGGAGGAAAGATGAGACCAACAGCTGAAGGGAGAAAAGGAGCATGAGGAGGAACGGAGGGAGGAGGGAGGAGGACGGAGAGGAGCTGCCCAGGAATACTGATGAGCTCCTGGTTGATTCCAGTCACAGCGTCTCACTGAGGATGTCAGATTAGCTCAACGCGGCGGGAGGAAACGGGAGACGTTAGGGAGAAAGGGGCAGGATTAAATATCTTCATCCAGGAGGTGAGAACGGGGGGGGGGGGGGGGGATAATCCCAGCCTTATCTGGGTCTGGGAGACTCATTAAGTCACTGCTGACTAACAGGAAGGCATTTCCAGAAACCGCTTAAACGGGAAAGCTTTGGCCCAATTAAAGGAAGCCTGAAGTCATGATGCGGCGGCGGCGGCGGCATTAAGTCTGATGCTGGAAGGCTGCGGGGACGATGCAGAGGGGCCGTGCTTACCTTGCAGTTGTTCAATGAGGGTCATTGCCATCCTGGAACCCTGGGCGTCAAACACCACGTGACCCTGAGGAGGAAACATCCAGGTTAGATCAAAAGACTGACGGTCAGCGGCGGCGGCGCGTTACATCAGCTCCAGCCAGGCCACGCCTCCACGCTCTGAGGAGTCCTGCTGGGTTTGCTTCAGCTGGGAGGCGCTGATCAGACCTGTGATCAGGCTCACAGCCTGGGAACCGATAGCAGGAAGATAAATCTATGCTGCTGGAATGAAGACGGTGAGCTGAAGGTCTAATCTGATCCTGACTTTAAACGAGAAGATGGCTGCTGATCGCTGCAGGCGGCGGCGGCCTGGATGTTCTACCTCATTACCGTCTAGATCAGGTCACTCAGAGCTCTGACATGTTGGTCATCCTGCATCATCCATCTAGAAATTAGTAAAAACTCTTAAATTAAGTGCATTTTATTTAAAAAGGCTAATTAACGGATCTGCCAGTGGAATGAGGATATTTACTCTTAAAATAAGATAATTAGATAATAAACAGTAAGACAATGCAATTGTTTTTTGTATTTTAAATGTAAATTGTCTTGTTTCATTTAAAAAGCGTCTCACTTTCCTCCTTCATTCAAGAAAAAATGCATTTATTTTAACAAAAAAAGACTTAAGATTTTAATGTTTTGCAGGTTAGAGACGGACGGCTCTGACAGGAAGACGGATTAAAGCTTTAAAGCAGAAGATCAGAGGAGAACCGGGATCTCTGCGACTCACCGACACCCCCTCAAAGGAGCTGGTGTTCAGCGCTCTGTAGATCTCTGAGGTGATGTCATGGTTGTTGTAGTTGAAGTCCTCCAGCCGCCGGCCCCTGGCCTTCAGGGGGGCCACGGTCTTGTTAAGGGCCAGCGCCAGGGCCCACACTGCGTCGAAGGCCAGAGGGGCCTCCTGGAACCCACCCGTCTCCTCTGGGTTCTTCCCCCCGAGCCGCGACATCAAGGCACCCAGAAACTCCTGCGAAGTCTGACAGGAAGGGAAGCAGCAGGAGTCAAAGCGTTTCTGAGGAATCAGGCTAAGATCCATCAGCTGAACTCGCCGCCACGCGTCGCTGCCTCTGCTCCACAGAAAGCAACAGTTTAAATCTATGTATCTCCATTATAGCATGCTAAGCTAGCTCCCACAGTGATCTCCCGCTGACGTCACCATGGAGACGGCTTTAACCTGCTGTTCATCAGAGAGCTGCTTATATTAGTGTTAAAGTTAGTGATACTGGCCTGGTGGTTAGAGCACTTCCATCCCCACAGACTGCCCCTCTGGGTCCCTGAGCAAGACCCTTAACCCCACCCTGCTCCCTGGGCGCCGCACAATGGCAGCCCACTGCTCCCCAAGGGGAGGGGTTAAACACAGAGAGGGAATTTCTCCAGTGAGATCAATAAAGGGATTTCCATTTACACTGAATAAGCCTGATTGATTCCTAACGATCCAGAACCAGCTGCAGGATTTTAATGCTAAATGACATGAAATCAATATGGCGTCAGACACAGAGGAAGGACAGCAGAGCTGACCTCACAGCCTGTTTTTATTCCCCATCCAAACGCCTGCTGTGCCAGCTAAGCTAACTGCAGGCCAACCCGTGGGGGACAGGGAAGGTGACCGTGGAGCCACTCAGTTTCCTTTCTCTCAATGTTTTTACCGAAGGTCATTAGAATTCAGCATCAGTGCCTCCATCTGACTGCTGCAGTTTGGGCCTTTCATCTTTATTATTGTTGTTGACCTGTGGAGCCAGCAGGGGGCAGCATTTCAGGGACAACTCCCTGGTCTGGTTTCATTGGGTCTGGATTCATTGGTTCTGATCTCATTGGGTCTAGTTTCATTGGGTCTAGTTTATTGGGTCTGGTCTCATTGGGTCTGGCTTCATTGGTTCTAGTTTCATTGGGTCTGGATTCATTGGTTCTGGTTTCATTGGTTCTGGTTTCATTGGGTCTAGTTTCATTGGGTCTAGTTTATTGGGTCTGGTCTCATTGGGTCTGGTTTCATTGGGTCTGGTTTCATTGGTTCTAGTGTCATTGGGTCTTGATTCATTGGTTCTGGTTTCATTGGGTCTGGATTCATTGGTTCTGGTTTCATTGGGTCTAGTTTCATTGGGTCTAGTTTATTGGGTCTGGTCTCATTGGGTCTGGTTTCATTGGGTCTGGTTTCATTGGTTCTAGTTTCATTGGGTCTGGCTTCATTGGTTCTGGTTTCATTGGGTCTGGATTCATTGGTTCTGGTTTCATTGGTTCTGGCTTCATTGGGTCTGGTCTCATTGGTTCTGGCTTCATTGGTTCTGGCTTCATTGGGTCTGGTCTCATTGGTTCTGGCTTCATTGGTTCTGGCTTCATTGGGTCTAGTTTATTGGGTCTGGTCTCATTGGGTCTGGCTTCATTGGTTCTAGTTTCATTGGGTCTGGATTCATTGGTTCTGGTTTCATTGGTTCTGGTTTCATTGGGTCTAGTTTCATTGGGTCTAGTTTATTGGGTCTGGTCTCATTGGGTCTGGTTTCATTGGGTCTGGTTTCATTGGTTCTAGTTTCATTGGGTCTTGATTCATTGGTTCTGGTTTCATTGGGTCTGGATTCATTGGTTCTGGTTTCATTGGGTCTAGTTTCATTGGGTCTAGTTTATTGGGTCTGGTCTCATTGGGTCTGGTTTCATTGGGTCTGGTTTCATTGGTTCTAGTTTCATTGGGTCTGGCTTCATTGGTTCTGGTTTCATTGGGTCTGGATTCATTGGTTCTGGTTTCATTGGTTCTGGCTTCATTGGGTCTGGTCTCATTGGTTCTGGCTTCATTGGTTCTGGCTTCATTGGGTCTGGTCTCATTGGTTCTGGCTTCATTGGTTCTGGCTTCATTGGGTCTAGTTTCATTGGGTCTAGTTTATTGGGTCTGGTCTCATTGGGTCTGGCTTCATTGGTTCTGGTTTCATTGGGTCTGGATTCATTGGTTCTGGTTTCATTGGTTCTGGCTTCATTGGGTCTGGTCTCATTGGTTCTGGCTTCATTGGTTCTGGTTTCATTGGGTCTAGTTTCATTGGGTCTAGTTTATTGGGTCTGGCTTCATTGGGTCTGGCTTCATTGGTTCTGGTTTCATATGGTCTGGTTTCATTGGTTCTAGTTTCATTGGGTCTGGATTCAATGGTTCTGGTTTCATTGGGTCTGGTTTCATTTGGGTCTGATTTCATTTGGGTCTGGATTCATTGGTTCTGGTTTCATTGGGTCTAGTTTCATTGGGTCTAGTTTATTGGGTCTGGTCTCATTGGGTCTGGCTTCATTGGTTCTAGTTTCATTGGGTCTGGATTCATTGGTTCTGGTTTCATTGGGTCTAGTTTCATTGGGTCTAGTTTATTGGGTCTGGTCTCATTGGGTCTGGCTTCATTGGTTCTAGTTTCATTGGGTCTGGATTCATTGGTTCTGGTTTCATTGGGTCTAGTTTCATTGGGTCTAGTTTATTGGGTCTGGTCTCATTGGGTCTGGTCTCATTGGGTCTGGTCTCATTGGGTCTGGTTTCATTGGGTCTGGTTTCATTGGGTCTGGTTTCATTGGGTCTGGATTCATTGGTTCTGGTTTCATTGGGTCTGGATTCATTGGTTCTGGTTTCATTGGGTCTGGTCTCATTGGGTCTGGCTTCATTGGTTCTAGTTTCATTGGGTCTGGATTCATTGGTTCTGGTTTCATTTGGGTCTGGTTTCATTTGGGTCTGGATTCATTGGTTCTGGTTTCATTGGGTCTAGTTTCATTGGGTCTAGTTTATTGGGTCTGGTCTCATTGGGTCTGGCTTCATTGGTTCTGGTTTCATTGGGTCTGGATTCATTGGTTCTGGTTTCATTGGTTCTGGCTTCATTGGGTCTGGTCTCAGTGGCTCTGGCTTCATTGGTTCTGGTTTCATTGGTTCTGGTCTCATTGGGTCTGGTTTCATTGGGTCTAGTTTCAGTGGGTCTGGTCTCATTGGTTCTGGTTTCATTGGTTCTGGTTCTGGTCTAATTTGCAGCCACAGTCGGTTGCTAAGCCTACTGAGACCTCCATGGTCCCCTTGGATCCTGTTTATACAGATATTCACTGAAAACTGGATTTTTTCCTGTTTCTGTTCACACATGATGAGATTAAAATGAAATGTATGTTGGCATGGCAACAACAGAAAAAGGAAAGGAGTGAAATTCGGTGCTATGCTACATGGTGTTGGTTTGAACCCTGGTTTTCATGAGTCACAGAAACTAGAAACCTTTACTGCTGTTAAAAACCCCCGCTGAGTAAACTGGGTCTAAACATGAAGCCCTCATCATCATCCTCCACCTCTTTGCTTCACAGCTGTCAGCACGCTGTGGTTTGCTTGGACAGACGTCATATTAAGACATCTTCTCCTTCAGCCCATCAAGCAGTCCCACCGGTTCACCTTCAACCTGCTGCTAACGGAGATAAATCATTCTTTGACCAGAGCTTCGTGTTTAAGGTTTATTTCTGATTTCTTTGGTTAAGAAGCTTCCAGGTGGAAGTTGGTTTCATTTTTGGAGCTGGAAATGTTTTGCTCCATGTTCTTTAAATGAATCTAGCTGATAATTTCCCTCATCTTTTCCAGTAAATGCCAGAGGGAGGGAGTGTGCGGTAGGTTGAATAATCTGGGCAGACTGGATTATTCTCACTGTGAACCGAACATTAGAAAGAAAGGCGGAGCTCTCACCATGTTGGAGACGCCGCGAACAGTCTCAGGATTCAACATAACGATCTCGGTGGTCACGTGTCCCTCCACGGCCTCCGTCATGTTCTCCACCGTGCAGTTGATGGCAGGGTCTTTGATCTTGAACCAGTTGTCGGCGTACCAGCCAATCAGGAACCAGACATATTTCTTCCCGTAGAGCTTCTCTTTGAACACCTGCAGCAGGAAGGAGGAGAGGATTGACTCCCATCTCAGCTCGGTGCAGCAGCTCTGGATCCTGCAGGTCTATATACAGACCTCACAGAACACCTTCCTGGCTTCTGTTTCATAAAAGAGCCCCACAATGATCCTGGCATCCTGGCGCTGCATGAAACCAGCAGAAAGCATCGCTTAGTGACATCAGCAGAGACAATCTGACTTCACAATATCACCGTTTGATGTGACAGCACAATGCGCCAAAGTCCCGCTGCTTGACAGGATGGCACAGACTGCTGTTCCATCATTAGCAGGTGAATTCATTTCCTGCGTTAAATGGCCTCCATGCTAATGGCGTGGCGTGCAGCTGTGAGGCGGGGGAGGAAGGAGACGGCCTGAATTCTTAATCAAAGCACCTTCAGGTTCTTGACAGCGACAGCCGGGTCGGTGAGGAAGCTTTGACGAACGCTGATCTCTATGCCCGCCTCCTTCACCCTCTGCTCCAGATCATCCAGAGTCTGGAAGATCAAAGGGAAGGACAGATGGGGGGGAGGGGGGGGGGTTAGAGAGGCAGAAAAACAGAGACACGTTGAAAGACAACAAGTCCAACAGTAAAAAACTAGACTGACAACATGAAAAACACCCATCTCTGTGAAAAACACAGAGATGGGGCTGACTGGGACTGACTGGGGCTGACTGGGACTGACTGGGACTGACTGGGACTGACTGGGGCTGACTGGGACTGACTGGGACTGACTGGGACTGACTGGGGCTGACTGGGACTGACTGAAACCGACTCAGACTGACTGGGGCTGACTGGGACTGACTGGGACTGACTCAGACTCACTGGGGCTGACTGGGACTGACTGGGACTGACTCAGACTGACTGGGGCTGACTGGGACTGACTGGGACTGACTCAGACTCACTGGGGCTGACTGGGACTGACTGGGACTGACTCAGACTGACTGGGACTGACTGGGACTGACTGAAACCGACTCAGACTGACTGGGACTGACTGGGGCTGACTGGGACTGACTCAGACTGACTGGGGCTGACTGGGACTGACTGGGACTGACTGAAACCGACTCAGACTGACTGGGGCTGACTGGGACTGACTGGGACTGACTGGGACTGACTGGGACTGACTCAGACTCACTGGGGCTGACTGGGGCTGACTGGGACTGACTGGGACTGACTGGGACTGACTGAAACCGACTCAGACTGACTGGGGCTGACTGGGACTGACTGGGACTGACTGAAACCGACTCAGACTGACTGGGACTGACTGGGGCTGACTGGGACTGACTCAGACTGACTGGGGCTGACTGGGACTGACTGGGACTGACTCAGACTCACTGGGGCTGACTGGGACTGACTGAAACCGACTCAGACTGACTGGGGCTGACTGGGACTGACTTAGACTGACTGGGGCTGACTGGGACTGACTGGGGCTGACTCAGACTGACTGGGGCTGACTGGGGCTGACTGGGACTGACTCAGACTGACTGGGGCTGACTGTGACTGACTGGGACTGACTGGGACTGACTCAGACTGACTGGGGCTGACTGTGACTGACTGGGACTGACTGGGACTGACTCAGACTGACTGGGGCTGACTGTGACTGACTGGGACTGACTCAGACTGACTGGGACTGACTGGGACTGACTGGGGCTGACTGGGACTGACTGGGACTGACTGGGACTGACTGGGGCTGACTGGGACTGACTGGGACTGACTGGGACTGACTGGGGCTGACTGGGACTGACTGAAACCGACTCAGACTGACTGGGGCTGACTGGGACTGACTGGGACTGACTCAGACTCACTGGGGCTGACTGGGACTGACTGGGACTGACTCAGACTGACTGGGGCTGACTGGGACTGACTGGGACTGACTCAGACTCACTGGGGCTGACTGGGACTGACTGGGACTGACTCAGACTGACTGGGACTGACTGGGACTGACTGAAACCGACTCAGACTGACTGGGACTGACTGGGGCTGACTGGGACTGACTCAGACTGACTGGGGCTGACTGGGACTGACTGGGACTGACTGAAACCGACTCAGACTGACTGGGGCTGACTGGGACTGACTGGGACTGACTGGGACTGACTGGGACTGACTCAGACTCACTGGGGCTGACTGGGGCTGACTGGGACTGACTGGGACTGACTGGGACTGACTGGGACTGACTGAAACCGACTCAGACTGACTGGGGCTGACTGGGACTGACTGGGACTGACTGAAACCGACTCAGACTGACTGGGACTGACTGGGGCTGACTGGGACTGACTCAGACTGACTGGGGCTGACTGGGACTGACTGGGACTGACTCAGACTCACTGGGGCTGACTGGGACTGACTGAAACCGACTCAGACTGACTGGGGCTGACTGGGACTGACTTAGACTGACTGGGGCTGACTGGGACTGACTGGGGCTGACTCAGACTGACTGGGGCTGACTGGGGCTGACTGGGACTGACTCAGACTGACTGGGGCTGACTGTGACTGACTGGGACTGACTGGGACTGACTCAGACTGACTGGGGCTGACTGTGACTGACTGGGACTGACTCAGACTCACTGGGACTGACTGGGACTGACTGGGGCTGACTGGGGCTGACTGGGACTGACTGGGACTGACTCAGACTGACTGGGACTGACTGGGACTGACTGAAACCGACTCAGACTGACTGGGACTGACTGGGGCTGACTGGGACTGACTCAGACTGACTGGGGCTGACTGGGACTGACTGGGACTGACTGAAACCGACTCAGACTGACTGGGGCTGACTGGGACTGACTGGGACTGACTCAGACTCACTGGGGCTGACTGGGGCTGACTGGGACTGACTGGGACTGACTGGGACTGACTGGGACTGACTGAAACCGACTCAGACTGACTGGGGCTGACTGGGACTGACTGGGACTGACTGAAACCGACTCAGACTGACTGGGACTGACTGGGGCTGACTGGGACTGACTCAGACTGACTGGGGCTGACTGGGACTGACTGGGACTGACTCAGACTCACTGGGGCTGACTGGGACTGACTGAAACCGACTCAGACTGACTGGGGCTGACTGGGACTGACTTAGACTGACTGGGGCTGACTGGGACTGACTGGGGCTGACTCAGACTGACTGGGGCTGACTGGGGCTGACTGGGGCTGACTCAGACTGACTGGGGCTGACTGGGGCTGACTGGGACTGACTCAGACTGACTGGGGCTGACTGTGACTGACTGGGACTGACTGGGACTGACTCAGACTGACTGGGGCTGACTGTGACTGACTGGGACTGACTCAGACTCACTGGGACTGACTGGGACTGACTGGGGCTGACTGGGGCTGACTGGGACTGACTGGGACTGACTGGGGCTGACTGGGGCTGACTGGGACTGACTGGGACTGACTGGGGCTGACTGGGACTGACTGGGACTGACTGAAACCGACTCAGACTGACTGGGACTGACTGGGACTGACTCAGACTCACTGGGACTGACAGGGACTGACTGGGGCTGACTGGGGCTGACTGGGGCTGACTGGGACTGACTGGGACTGACTGGGGCTGACTGGGGCTGACTGGGACTGACTGGGACTGACTGGGGCTGACTGGGACTGACTGGGACTGACTCAGACTGACTGGGGCTGACTGGGGCTGACTGGGACTGACTCAGACTGACTGGGGCTGACTGGGACTGACTGGGACTGACTGAAACCGACTCAGACTGACTGGGGCTGACTGGGACTGACTGGGGCTGACTGGGGCTGACTGGGACTGACTCAGACTGACTGGGGCTGACTGGGGCTGACTGGGACTGACTCAGACTGACTGGGGCTGACTGGGACTGACTGGGACTGACTGAAACCGACTCAGACTGACTGGGGCTGACTGGGACTGACTCAGACTGACTGGGGCTGACTGGGACTGACTCAGACTGACTGGGGCTGACTGGGACTGACTGGGACTGACTGAAACCGACTCAGACTGACTGGGGCTGACTGGGACTGACTCAGACTGACTGGGGCTGACTGGGACTGACTCAGACTCACTGGGACTGACTGAAACCGACTCAGACTGACTGGGACTGACTCAGACTGACTGGGGCTGACTGGGACTGACTCAGACTGACTGGGACTGACTGGGACTGACTGGGACTGACTGAAACCGACTCAGACTGACTGGGACTGACTCAGACTCACTGGGGCTGACTGGGACTGACTGAAACCGACTCAGACTGACTGGGACTGACTGGGTCTGACTGGGACTGACTCAGACTGACTGGGACTGACTGGGTCTGACTGGGACTGACTGGGGTTGACTGGGACTGACTGGGGCTGACTGGGTCTGACTGGGGCTGACTGGGGCTGACTGGGTCTGACTGGGGCTGACTCAGACTGACTGGGACTGACTGGGTCTGACTGGGACTGACTGGGGCTGACTGGGACTGACTGGGGCTGACTGGGTCAGACTGGGGCTGACTCAGACTGACTGGGACTGACTGGGACTGACTCAGACTGACTGGGACTGACTGGGTCTGACTGGGGCTGACTGGGACTGACTCAGACTGACTGGGACTGACTGGGACTGACTCAGACTGACTGGGACTGACTCAGACTGACTGGGGCTGACTGGGACTGACTCAGACTGACTGGGACTGACTGGGTCTGACTGGGACTGACTGGGGCTGACTGGGACTGACTCAGACTGACTGGGACTGACTGGGACTGACTCAGACTGACTGGGACTGACTCAGACTGACTGGGGCTGACTGGGACTGACTGGGACTGACTGGGTCTGACTGGGGCTGACTGGGACTGACTCAGACTGACTGGGACTGACTGGGTCTGACTGGGACTGACTCAGACTGACTGGGACTGACTGGGACTGACTGGGACTGACTCAGACTGACTGGGGCTGACTGGGGCTGACTGGGTCTGACTGGGGCTGACTGGGACTGACTCAGACTGACTGGGACTGACTGGGTCTGACTGGGGCTGACTGGGACTGACTCAGACTGACTGGGACTGACTCAGACTGACTGGGGCTGACTGGGACTGACTCAGACTGACTGGGACTGACTGGGTCTGACTGGGACTGACTGGGGCTGACTGGGACTGACTCAGACTGACTGGGACTGACTGGGTCTGACTGGGACTGACTGGGGCTGACTGGGTCTGACTGGGGCTGACTCAGACTGACTGGGACTGACTGGGACTGACTCAGACTGACTAGGACTGACTGGGACTGACTGGGGCTGACTCGGACTGACTGGGACTGACTGGGACTGACTCAGACTGACTGGGTCTGACTGGGACTGACTCAGACTGACTGGGACTGACTGGGACTGACTGGGGCTGACTGGGGCTGACTCAGACTGACTGGGACTGACTGGGACTGACTGGGGCTGACTGGGACTGACTGGGACTGACTGGGGCTGACTCAGACTGACTGGGTCTGACTGGGACTGACTCAGACTGACTGGGACTGACTCAGACTGACTGGGACTGACTGGGTCTGACTGGGACTGACTGGGGCTGACTGGGTCTGACTGGGACTGACTGGGGCTGACTGGGACTGACTGGGGCTGACTGGGACTGACTGGGACTGACTCAGACTGACTGGGACTGACTGGGGCTGACTGGGACTGACTGGGTCTGACTGGGGCTGACTGGGACTGACTGGGGCTGACTGGGACTGACTGGGGCTGACTGGGGCTGACTGGGACTGACTGGGACTGACTCAGACTGACTGGGACTGACTCAGACTGACTGGGTCTGACTGGGACTGACTGGGTCTGACTGGGGCTGACTGGGTCTGACTGGGGCTGACTGGGACTGACTGGGGCTGACTGGGACTGACTGGGGCTGACTGGGGCTGACTGGGACTGACTGGGACTGACTGGGTCTGACTGGGACTGACTGGGGCTGACTGGGTCTGACTGGGGCTGACTCAGACTGACTGGGACTGACTGGGACTGACTCAGACTGACTAGGACTGACTGGGACTGACTGGGGCTGACTCGGACTGACTGGGACTGACTGGGACTGACTCAGACTGACTGGGTCTGACTGGGACTGACTCAGACTGACTGGGACTGACTGGGACTGACTGGGGCTGACTGGGGCTGACTCAGACTGACTGGGACTGACTGGGACTGACTGGGGCTGACTGGGACTGACTGGGACTGACTGGGGCTGACTCAGACTGACTGGGTCTGACTGGGACTGACTCAGACTGACTGGGACTGACTGGGACTGACTCAGACTGACTGGGACTGACTGGGTCTGACTGGGACTGACTGGGGCTGACTGGGTCTGACTGGGACTGACTGGGGCTGACTGGGACTGACTGGGGCTGACTGGGACTGACTGGGACTGACTCAGACTGACTGGGACTGACTGGGGCTGACTGGGACTGACTGGGTCTGACTGGGTCTGACTGGGGCTGACTGGGACTGACTGGGGCTGACTGGGACTGACTGGGGCTGACTGGGGCTGACTGGGACTGACTGGGACTGACTCAGACTGACTGGGACTGACTGGGACTGACTCAGACTGACTGGGTCTGACTGGGACTGACTGGGTCTGACTGGGGCTGACTGGGACTGACTGGGGCTGACTGGGACTGACTGGGGCTGACTGGGGCTGACTGGGACTGACTGGGACTGACTCAGACTGACTGGGACTGACTGGGACTGACTCAGACTGACTGGGTCTGACTGGGACTGACTCAGACTGACTGGGACTGACTGGGACTGACTGGGGCTGACTGGGGCTGACTCAGACTGACTGGGACTGACTGGGTCTGACTGGGACTGACTGGGGCTGACTGGGTCTGACTGGGACTGACTGGGGCTGACTGGGACTGACTGGGGCTGACTGGGACTGACTGGGGCTGACTGGGACTGACTCAGACTGACTGGGACTGACTCAGACTGACTGGGACTGACTGGGTCTGACTGGGACTGACTGGGGCTGACTGGGTCTGACTGGGACTGACTGGGGCTGACTGGGACTGACTGGGGCTGACTGGGACTGACTGGGACTGACTCAGACTGACTGGGACTGACTGGGGCTGACTGGGACTGACTGGGTCTGACTGGGGCTGACTGGGACTGACTGGGGCTGACTGGGTCTGACTGGGTCTGACTGGGGCTGACTGGGACTGACTGGGGCTGACTGGGACTGACTGGGACTGACTGGGACTGACTCAGACTGACTGGGACTGACTGGGGCTGACTGGGACTGACTGGGTCTGACTGGGGCTGACTGGGACTGACTGGGGCTGACTGGGTCTGACTGGGTCTGACTGGGGCTGACTGGGACTGACTGGGTCTGACTGGGGCTGACTGGGACTGACTGGGGCTGACTGGGACTGACTGGGACTGACTGGGACTGACTGGGGCTGACTGGGGCTGACTGGGACTGACTGGGACTGACTCAGACTGACTGGGACTGACTGGGGCTGACTGGGACTGACTGGGGCTGACTGGGACTGACTGGGGCTGACTGGGGCTGACTGGGTCTGACTGGGACTGACTGGGGCTGACTGGGGTGACTGGGACTGACTGGGACTGACTGGGGCTGACTGGGGCTGACTGGGACTGACTGGGGCTGACTGGGACTGACTGGGGCTGACTGGGACTGACTGGGACTGACTCAGACTGACTGGGACTGACTGGGGCTGACTGGGACTGACTGGGGCTGACTGGGTCTGACTGGGACTGACTGGGGCTGACTGGGACTGACTGGGGCTGACTGGGACTGACTGGGACTGACTCAGACTGACTGGGACTGACTGGGGCTGACTGGGACTGACTGGGTCTGACTGGGGCTGACTGGGACTGACTGGGGCTGACTGGGACTGACTGGGGCTGACTGGGGCTGACTGGGACTGACTGGGACTGACTCAGACTGACTGGGACTGACTGGGACTGACTCAGACTGACTGGGTCTGACTGGGACTGACTGGGTCTGACTGGGGCTGACTGGGACTGACTGGGACTGACTCAGACTGACTGGGACTGACTGGGGCTGACTGGGACTGACTGGGGCTGACTGGGACTGACTGGGGCTGACTGGGACTGACTGGGGCTGACTGGGGCTGACTGGGACTGACTGGGACTGACTCAGACTGACTGGGACTGACTGGGACTGACTCAGACTGACTGGGTCTGACTGGGACTGACTGGGTCTGACTGGGGCTGACTGGGACTGACTGGGGCTGACTGGGACTGACTGGGGCTGACTGGGGCTGACTGGGACTGACTGGGACTGACTCAGACTGACTGGGACTGACTGGGACTGACTCAGACTGACTGGGTCTGACTGGGACTGACTCAGACTGATTGGGACTGACTGGGACTGACTGGGGCTGACTGGGGCTGACTCAGACTGACTCAGACTGACTGGGTCTGACTGGGACTGACTGGGACTGACTCAGACTGACTGGGACTGACTCAGACTGACTGGGACTGACTGGGTCTGACTGGGACTGACTGGGGCTGACTGGGTCTGACTGGGACTGACTGGGACTGACTCAGACTGACTGGGGCTGACTGGGGCTGACTGGGTCTGACTGGGACTGACTGGGGCTGACTGGGGTGACTGGGACTGACTGGGACTGACTGGGGCTGACTCAGACTGACTGGGACTGACTGGGACTGACTCAGACTGACTGGGACTGACTGGGTCTGACTGGGACTGACTGGGGCTGACTGGGACTGACTGGGACTGACTGGGACTGACTGGGGCTGACTGGGGCTGACTGGGTCTGACTGGGACTGACTGGGGCTGACTGGGGTGACTGGGACTGACTGGGACTGACTGGGGCTGACTGGGACTGACTGAAACCGACTCAGACTGACTGGGGGGTAACTGACAACAAAAACAGTCTACAAGTGATGTGAGGCAGATCAAACTCGGAAGTGGACTCGGAGTGTACTGACTAACCGAGGTGAAGACCTCTGTGGTCTGCTGGATGGTGGCGATGCGGGACCAGTTCCACTTCTTGAAGAGCCGCACTCTGGTGGGGTTGTGAAGGGTGGCTGAGGGGTGGGTGCGGAAGAAGGTGGGGAAACGCTGGCGGTTGGACAGGGCTGGGGAGCTGGAGCCGTAGGACAGCTGAGGACAAGAAAAGGACAGACTAGAGTTAGGACAGGTCCACCTGGGAGGAAAACCCAGACCCAACCAGAGAGAGTTCTGCTCCTTCATAGACGCCGTGGGAAACCGGGCCTCCAGTCTGAACAGACCAGAGGAGGGGCCACTTTATTAGGCACACCTGCCTATCAAGTGGAACCAGTGGAACCAGTGAGACCAGTGGACATTGATACGTGTAGAGATGCAGTTAAATGTTCAGTGGATTCATGGAAACATCAGTTTGTTGAATTATTGCTAAAATCCATCAAAGCAGGAAAAGCAAAGATGGTGGAAACATTTCTCAGGTTTTCTGCAGGGAGGAAGCAGCTGTGATCAGAAGGTCCTGATGCTGCAGCCTTCCTGTTCCTCTCCTCAGCATCGCTCTCTTTAATCAGACGTGTCATCAGAAAGTCCTGATGCTGCAGCCTTCCTGTTCCTCCCCTCAGCATCGCTCTCTTTAATCAGACGTGTCATCAGAAAGTCCTGATGCTGCAGCCTTCCTGTTCCTCTCCTCAGCATCGCTCTCTTTCATCAGACGTGTCATCAGAAGGTCCTGATGCTGCAGCCTTCCTGTTCCTCCCCTCAGCATCGCTCTCTTTAATCAGACGTGTCATCAGAAAGTCCTGATGCTGCAGCCTTCCTGTTCCTCTCCTCAGCATCGCTCTCTTTAATCAGACGTGTCATCAGAAAGTCCTGATGCTGCAGCCTTCCTGTTCCTCTCCTCAGCATCGCTCTCTTTCATCAGACGTGTCATCAGAAGGTCCTGATGCTGCAGCCTTCCTGTTCCTCCCCTCAGCATCGCTCTCTTTAATCAGACGTGTCATCAGAAAGTCCTGATGCTGCAGCCTTCCTGTTCCTCTCCTCAGCATCGCTCTCTTTAATCAGACGTGTCATCAGAAGGTCCTGATGCTGCAGCCTTCCTGTTCCTCTCCTCAGCATCGCTCTCTTTCATCAGACGTGTCATCAGAAGGTCCTGATGCTGCAGCCTTCCTGTTCCTCTCCTCAGCATCGCTCTCTTTCATCAGACGTGTCATCAGAAGGTCCTGATGCTGCAGCCTTCCTGTTCCTCCCCTCAGCATCGCTCTCTTTAATCAGACGTGTCATCAGAAGGTCCTGATGCTGCAGCCTTCCTGTTCCTCTCCTCAGCATCGCTCTCTTTCATCAGACGTGTCATCAGAAGGTCCTGATGCTGCAGCCTTCCTGTTCCTCCCCTCAGCATCGCTCTCTTTAATCAGACGTGTCATCAGAAAGTCCTGATGCTGCAGCCTTCCTGTTCCTCTCCTCAGCATCGCTCTCTTTAATCAGACGTGTCATCAGAAGGTCCTGATGCTGCAGCCTTCCTGTTCCTCTCCTCAGCATCGCTCTCTTTCATCAGACGTGTCATCAGAAGGTCCTGATGCTGCAGCCTTCCTGTTCCTCTCCTCAGCATCGCTCTCTTTCATCAGACGTGTCATCAGAAGGTCCTGATGCTGCAGCCTTCCTGTTCCTCTCCTCAGCATCGCTCTCTTTAATCAGACGTGTCATCAGAAGGTCCTGATGCTGCAGCCTTCCTGTTCCTCTCCTCAGCATCGCTCTCTTTAATCAGACGTGTCATCAGAAGGTCCTGATGCTGCAGCCTTCCTGTTCCTCCCCTCAGCATCGCTCTCTTTAATCAGACGTGTCATCAGAAGGTCCTGATGCTGCAGCCTTCCTGTTCCTCTCCTCAGCATCGCTCTCTTTAATCAGACGTGTCATCAGAAAGTCCTGATGCTGCAGCCTTCCTGTTCCTCTCCTCAGCATCGCTCTCTTTCATCAGACGTGTCATCAGAAAGTCCTGATGCTGCAGCCTTCCTGTTCCTCCCCTCAGCATCGCTCTCTTTCATCAGACGTGTCATCAGAAGGTCCTGATGCTGCAGCCTTCCTGTTCCTCTCCTCAGCATCGCTCTCTTTCATCAGACGTGTCATCAGAAGGTCCTGATGCTGCAGCCTTCCTGTTCCTCTCCTCAGCATCGCTCTCTTTCATCAGACGTGTCATCAGAAGGTCCTGATGCTGCAGCCTTCCTGTTCCTCCCCTCAGCATCGCTCTCTTTCATCAGACGTGTCATCAGAAGGTCCTGATGCTGCAGCCTTCCTGTTCCTCCCCTCAGCATCGCTCTCTTTCATCAGACGTGTCATCAGAAGGTCCTGATGCTGCAGCCTTCCTGTTCCTCTCCTCAGCATCGCTCTCTTTAATCAGACGTGTCATCAGAAAGTCCTGATGCTGCAGCCTTCCTGTTCCTCTCCTCAGCATCGCTCTCTTTCATCAGACGTGTCATCAGAAGGTCCTGATGCTGCAGCCTTCCTGTTCCTCCCCTCAGCATCGCTCTCTTTCATCAGACGTGTCATCAGAAGGTCCTGATGCTGCAGCCTTCCTGTTCCTCCCCTCAGCATCGCTCTCTTTCATCAGACGTGTCATCAGAAGGTCCTGATGCTGCAGCCTTCCTGTTCCTCCCCTCAGCATCGCTCTCTTTAATCAGACGTGTCATCAGAAGGTCCTGATGCTGCAGCCTTCCTGTTCCTCCCCTCAGCATCGCTCTCTTTCATCAGACGTGTCATCAGAAGGTCCTGATGCTGCAGCCTTCCTGTTCCTCTCCTCAGCATCGCTCTCTTTCATCAGACGTGTCATCAGAAGGTCCTGATGCTGCAGCCTTCCTGTTCCTCTCCTCAGCATCGCTCTCTTTCATCAGACGTGTCATCAGAAGGTCCTGATGCTGCAGCCTTCCTGTTCCTCTCCTCAGCATCGCTCTCTTTCATCAGACGTGTCATCAGAAGGTCCTGATGCTGCAGCCTTCCTGTTCCTCCCCTCAGCATCGCTCTCTTTAATCAGACGTGTCATCAGAAGGTCCTGATGCTGCAGCCTTCCTGTTCCTCTCCTCAGCATCGCTCTCTTTAATCAGACGTGTCATCAGAAAGTCCTGATGCTGCAGCCTTCCTGTTCCTCTCCTCAGCATCGCTCTCTTTCATCAGACGTGTCATCAGAAAGTCCTGATGCTGCAGCCTTCCTGTTCCTCCCCTCAGCATCGCTCTCTTTCATCAGACGTGTCATCAGAAGGTCCTGATGCTGCAGCCTTCCTGTTCCTCTCCTCAGCATCGCTCTCTTTCATCAGACGTGTCATCAGAAGGTCCTGATGCTGCAGCCTTCCTGTTCCTCTCCTCAGCATCGCTCTCTTTCATCAGACGTGTCATCAGAAGGTCCTGATGCTGCAGCCTTCCTGTTCCTCCCCTCAGCATCGCTCTCTTTCATCAGACGTGTCATCAGAAGGTCCTGATGCTGCAGCCTTCCTGTTCCTCCCCTCAGCATCGCTCTCTTTCATCAGACGTGTCATCAGAAGGTCCTGATGCTGCAGCCTTCCTGTTCCTCCCCTCAGCATCGCTCTCTTTAATCAGACGTGTCATCAGAAGGTCCTGATGCTGCAGCCTTCCTGTTCCTCCCCTCAGCATCGCTCTCTTTAATCAGACGTGTCATCAGAAGGTCCTGATGCTGCAGCCTTCCTGTTCCTCTCCTCAGCATCGCTCTCTTTCATCAGACGTGTCATCAGAAGGTCCTGATGCTGCAGCCTTCCTGTTCCTCCCCTCAGCATCGCTCTCTTTAATCAGACGTGTCATCAGAAAGTCCTGATGCTGCAGCCTTCCTGTTCCTCTCCTCAGCATCGCTCTCTTTAATCAGACGTGTCATCAGAAGGTCCTGATGCTGCAGCCTTCCTGTTCCTCCCCTCAGCATCGCTCTCTTTAATCAGACGTGTCATCAGAAGGTCCTGATGCTGCAGCCTTCCTGTTCCTCTCCTCAGCATCGCTCTCTTTCATCAGACGTGTCATCAGAAGGTCCTGATGCTGCAGCCTTCCTGTTCCTCCCCTCAGCATCGCTCTCTTTAATCAGACGTGTCATCAGAAGGTCCTGATGCTGCAGCCTTCCTGTTCCTCTCCTCAGCATCGCTCTCTTTCATCAGACGTGTCATCAGAAGGTCCTGATGCTGCAGCCTTCCTGTTCCTCCCCTCAGCATCGCTCTCTTTAATCAGACGTGTCATCAGAAGGTCCTGATGCTGCAGCCTTCCTGTTCCTCTCCTCAGCATCGCTCTCTTTCATCAGACGTGTCATCAGAAGGTCCTGATGCTGCAGCCTTCCTGTTCCTCCCCTCAGCATCGCTCTCTTTAATCAGACGTGTCATCAGAAAGTCCTGATGCTGCAGCCTTCCTGTTCCTCCCCTCAGCATCGCTCTCTTTAATCAGACGTGTCATCAGAAGGTCCTGATGCTGCAGCCTTCCTGTTCCTCTCCTCAGCATCGCTCTCTTTCATCAGACGTGTCATCAGAAGGTCCTGATGCTGCAGCCTTCCTGTTCCTCCCCTCAGCATCGCTCTCTTTCATCAGACGTGTCAGTAATGTCTGCCTCTGTGATTAAAAACCAAACCTCGGTTACGCAGAGCTGCCTGGAACCGAGACGACGCGTCCTTTTATTACAGGTGGAGAGGATGAGAAACAGGATCCAATTATTCTTGGAGGCGGCGGCGGCGCTGATGGACGGCGTGTCCACAGCGGCAGAGACGCTCCAAGGTGTCCCTAAAGCAGGAACGTGACAGCTGGCCCCCCCACTGGGAATAGAATCCTTCCTTTAAACCTGCTGGTGAGGAACCGTTAGCTGAACACAGAGGAGACGCAGTCTACATGGTAACAGGTGGGGGTGGGTGGAGAAAGAACACCGTCACTGACCATCAGACTGTCCATCTCCTCCATCCAGACCAGAACCAGAACCAGTCCAGGGTCCGTCTGCCACAGACCATCAGCAGAGCTAATAAACATCTGAGCCGTAGAAGGAGACCTCCTCTGGGCTCGTTCAGCTTTAGGTCCAGCAGTGGGAATTCACCTGTGAGATGAAGACCATCAGCACAGACCTCAGCAGCAGAGGATGGATCAGAGGAACATTCATGATCAGAGGAGCGACCAGCTCTGGGGTCAGAGGTCACCTCCACATGCAGCAGATCAAACATGCAGAGGAGCCTCGATCACAGATGGACGGCTCCTGATGAGGCTGACGTGACAGCGGGTCGCAGCAGGGCGGCGGCGGCGGATGAAGACAGACGCGTCCCTTTGACTGCGGGGGAGAATCTGCAGCTGGAGACCAGCCGGAAATGAAGAGCGGGTGAGAAAGAGACGGCAGAGGGGGGAGGAAAAAGGAAGAGAGGGACCAGCTGCAGGCGGCGACACAAAGAGAAGAAAGCTGAAAAAGTTTTTAATGATGGAGAAACGGAAACGCCAGGAAGGAGGCGGAGCGCTGCACCGCACCGACCCCAGAGACTGATCTCTACACGTCAATTAGAGGCAGAAGATAACGAGCCGAACGCCGTGACCCGCAGAAAGGATGGAGAGCGAGGAAAGACAGGCGAGGACTCGTCCCTGGATCTGGGCTCAGTGCACACCTGATGTGCACCATTACGCATTTCACTGGTCGTTCTCGTGTCCTGGTGAAACGTCAGCAGCACTGTTTCAGTTCACTAGAACAGACACAGTCCCTGGATGTTGTTCTGGCCCCTCCCTCTTTACCCAGCATGCATCAGAGCAGACCTGTCCTTCCTCCAGACTGACAGCTGTCCCAGCATGCACTGCAGCAGCAGCAGCTTCCAGGTTAGCGCTCACAGAGCTCAGAGGATTAAGATCAAAGTTCTGTTTCTGTTGTTCAATAAAAGGAAGTTTAAGATCATTTGAGGCGAGAAAGTTAAACCTTAAGCTTCACTAAACGGAACATTTACTGATTTAATGAGGAATTTAAAAAAGTTCTGATGTAGAGAGGCAACCAGGGCTAACCTTAGCCATCCATCCATCCATCATCCATCCATCATCCATCCATCATCCATCCATCCATCCATCATCCATCCATCCATCCATCCATCCATCATCCATCCATCCATCCATCCATCATCCATCATCCATCATCCATCCATCCATCCATCATCCATCCATCCATCCATCCATCCATCATCCATCCATCATCCATCATCCATCATCCATCCATCATCCATCCATCCATCCATCCATCCATCATCCATCCATCCATCCATCCATCATCCATCATCCATCATCCATCCATCCATCCATCATCCATCCATCCATCCATCCATCCATCATCCATCCATCATCCATCCATCCATCCATCATCCATCCATCCATCATCCATCCATCCATCCATCATCCATCCATCATCCATCATCCATCCATCCATCCATCATCCATCCATCCATCCATCCATCCATCCATCCATCATCCATCCATCATCCATCCATCCATCCATCCATCATCCATCCATCATCCATCCATCATCCATCCATCCATCCATCATCCATCCATCCATCATCCATCCATCCATCCATCATCCATCCATCCATCATCCATCATCCATCATCCATCCATCCATCCATCATCCATCCATCCATCCATCCATCCATCATCCATCCATCATCCATCCATCCATCCATCATCCATCCATCCATCATCCATCCATCCATCCATCATCCATCCATCCATCATCCATCATCCATCATCCATCCATCCATCCATCATCCATCCATCATCCATCCATCCATCCATCATCCATCCATCCATCATCCATCCATCCATCCATCATCCATCCATCCATCATCCATCATCCATCATCCATCCATCCATCCATCATCCATCCATCCATCATCCATCCATCCATCCATCATCCATCCATCCATCATCCATCATCCATCATCCATCCATCCATCCATCATCCATCCATCCATCCATCCATCCATCATCCATCCATCCATCATCCATCCATCCATCATCCATCATCCATCCATCATCCATCCATCCATCATCCATCCATCCATCCATCCATCCATCATCCATCCATCCATCCATCCATCCATCCATCATCCATCCATCCATCCATCCATCCATCCATCATCCATCCATCCATCATCCATCCATCCATCATCCATCATCCATCCATCATCCATCCATCCATCATCCATCCATCCATCCATCCATCCATCATCCATCCATCCATCCATCCATCCATCATCCATCATCCATCCATCATCCATCCATCCATCCATCATCCATCCATCCATCATCCATCCATCCATCATCCATCCATCCATCATCCATCCATCCATCCATCATCCATCCATCCATCCATCCATCCATCCATCATCCATCCATCCATCATCCATCCATCCATCATCCATCCATCCATCATCCATCCATCCATCCATCCATCATCCATCATCCATCCATCATCCATCCATCCATCCATCCATCCATCATCCATCCATCATCCATCATCCATCCATCATCCATCCATCCATCATCCATCCATCCATCCATCATCCATCCATCCATCATCCATCCATCCATCCATCCATCATCCATCATCCATCCATCATCCATCCATCCATCATCCATCCATCCATCATCCATCCATCCATCATCCATCCATCCATCCATCATCCATCCATCCATCCATCCATCATCCATCCATCATCCATCCATCCATCATCCATCCATCCATCCATCATCCATCCATCCATCATCCATCCATCCATCCATCCATCATCCATCATCCATCCATCATCCATCCATCCATCCATCCATCCATCCATCATCCATCCATCATCCATCATCCATCCATCATCCATCCATCCATCATCCATCCATCCATCCATCATCCATCCATCCATCATCCATCCATCCATCCATCCATCATCCATCATCCATCCATCATCCATCCATCCATCATCCATCCATCCATCCATCATCCATCCATCCATCATCCATCCATCCATCCATCATCCATCCATCCATCCATCCATCATCCATCATCCATCCATCCATCCATCATCCATCCATCCATCCATCCATCCATCATCCATCCATCATCCATCATCCATCCATCATCCATCCATCCATCATCCATCCATCCATCCATCATCCATCCATCCATCCATCATCCATCCATCCATCATCCATCCATCCATCATCCATCATCCATCCATCATCCATCCATCCATCCATCCATCATCCATCCATCATCCATCATCCATCCATCATCCATCCATCCATCATCCATCCATCCATCCATCATCCATCCATCCATCATCCATCCATCCATCCATCCATCATCCATCATCCATCCATCCATCCATCATCCATCCATCCATCCATCATCCATCCATCCATCCATCATCCATCCATCCATCATCCATCATCCATCATCCATCCATCCATCATCCATCATCCATCCATCATCCATCCATCCATCCATCCATCATCCATCATCCATCCATCCATCCATCATCCATCCATCCATCCATCATCCATCCATCCATCCATCATCCATCCATCCATCGATCATAACTCTAGTTTTTTCTCTCCTTCCATCACCATGAGCAGAATGATCAGCCAGTCAGGAACCATGAGCTTCTCAGAAACAGAACCCTCCAGTAAACATGGTGGTGGATCTATGATGCTGCGTTGATCTTTCTGTTGCATCTGAACAAAGTTCTTTTAAATAGAGAAAAACCAGCTGTGGAAACAGGCCTTCAATTGTTCTTCAGGGTTCTGTTGATCCAGCAAGAGCCAAACCAACCAACAAGACTTTCTGAGAAAATTCTACTTTTCTCAGCGGGTCTTTCTGCTCATCTTTACCCAGCAGAGGGGCGGGGAGGAGACACCTGTAAGGAGACTCTATTAGAGCCCCTGTAGAGTCTCTCTAGTCACAGTTTAGCAGGTAAAGCGAGGAGCTACTCACCACTATCAGGTTCCACATCCGAGCAGCTTCAGCCACGATGGTGGAGACGCCGCTGCAGCCGGGCATGAGGACGATCTTGATTGGCTCAGTGTAGAGAAGGTCATACAGCAGCTTGGTGGCTTCTCCAGGGTCACACTGGAAGGACAAAGCATCACAGAGATAAATGACTGCAGGAGAAATTCATTCAGGTTAGGAAGGAAAGAGAAAAGATGAGACCGTGGACGGCAGATTAGAGAGAGAGATTACAGGAGCTTCACCTAAAAACCCCAGAGAAAAAAAATCAATCATGTGAATTCATGAAAAAAACCTGCAGAAATGGAAGAAAACAAGATGATGTCACAGAAACAGGGAGGCATCACATCTGATCCAATCACACACGGTCATTGATGATGTCACTACTGCACATCATCTGGACGGATCAGCTGACAGGTTGGAGTCATGGATGGTCAGCTACGACTTATCTTCAGCTCCAACACCTCTGATGGAGTTAGCATTAGTTAGCGACGAAGTTCTGGTTCTGGGTTACGTTCTAGAACATCTCCCAGATGTTTGAATGATCCATTATCCGAACCTAGAGAGAGGATGGACCACCATATTAACCCCATATTATCACGACTAACTCACTGCTAACTCACTGCTAACACAATACTAACACACCTATAACTCACTGCTAACTCACTGCTAACTCAATACTAACACACCTATAACTCACCACTGACTCACTGCTAACACAATACTAACACACCTATAACTCACTGCTAACTCACTGCTAACACACCTATAACTCACTGCTAACACAATACTAACACACCTATAACTCACTGCTAACTCACTGCTAACACAATACTGACCCACTGCTAACTCACTGCTAACTTTGTGCTAACTGAATGCTAACTAAATAATTACTCAATGCTAACATAATGATATCTCACTGTTAACTCACCACCAACTCACTGCTAACACAATACTAACGCACCTATAACTCAGTGCTAACTCACTGCTAACACAATACTAACTCACTGCTAACTCAGTGCTAACTCAATACTAGCCCACACCTCCTAACTGCTAACTCAATATTAACTCACCTCTAACCCACTGCTAACTCAATGTTAACTCAATGCTATCTCAAGCTACCCCACTGCTAACTTAGTGCTAACTCAATGCTAGCCCATGCTACCTCACTGCTAACACAATACTAACTCACCACTAACTCACAGCTAACTCAGTGTTAACTACCTGCTGACTCACCAGTAATGCAATACTAGCTCACTGCTAACATATTACTAACTCACTGCTCAGTGTTTACTCACTGCTAACTTATAGCTAACTCGCTACTTATTACCTGCTAACTCATTGCTAACTAACCACTAACTCCCTGCTAACTCACTGTTAACACACTGCCAATTCAATGCTGACTCACTGCTAACTCACTACTAACTTTGTGCTAACTCACTGCTGACTTAATGATAACCCAATGCTAACATAGTGCTAACTCCCTCCTAACTCACACCTAAATCAATGCTAACTCACCACAACGTAATTGCTAACTCAGGGTTAAGTCACTGCTAAGTAAAGGATAACTCCCTGCTAACTCACCGCTAAGTCCCTACTAACTCTTGGCTAACTGGCTGTTTACTTACTGATAACTTGCTAACTTGGTGCAAACTCACTGCTAACTCAATGCTAACGAGGTTGTAGCTGCAGATCATTTCTTGCTCCTCATCAGATGCTGAAGCTGCCCCCGCAGCCAGCGGACTATAAATAGCACCTCTGTTAGCAGTTAGCAGAGAAAGTTGTTTCTTGATGAGAACAACAGATGGCAGGAAGAGACACTTTTAAAGCTCGTTAGCAACTTCAAAGACTGTCGTCTTCAGCTGACTCCTTTGACTGATTAGTTCAGTTGTGAAACTTCTGAGTCTATATTTAATCACAGGCTGAGATGTTTTTAATCACTGGATAATAGCATTAATATTTATCAGAGAGTTGCTCTCAGCCAATCAGCTCCACTCTGATTGTCTCTCTGAGCTTTCTAAGTTTAGCCAGCAGGGAAGCAGATTGTCGTCAGCAGCCGTTTCGCACGCTGGAAGCTACATCTTCATGGAGGAGCCTGCAGATGGACGTGCAGAGCTTCCTGAATGCTCGTTCCCACAGGTTGTTTGTTGAGTTGCCGGCTGCATGCTGCGGAGCAGCTCGTTAGTTTTCTGCTGTCTCTGATGAGCTCTACTTCATAGCCCGCTCAAATTACCTTCAAATTATTTAATCAATCCATCATCGCAGGTTTTAATAGCAGCTTGTTTTAATCAGCATCCAAATGACTCGCTGATTATAACGTGTAGAAATGCGAATTTAATCAAGAAGTGCAGCTTCTGGTCCTGTAGAGGTTATTAAAACATCCAAACCAAGACAAACAGCCATTAGCCCTCCGCATGTTTAGTCAAGACAATTTCCCAGCCTAAAAAACACATTAGCTGCTGACTGTTTACATGAAGCCGGATCCCGCGCTCGGCTGCAGAGCTCCAATTTCAAAAAAGGTCATTAGAGCTGAATGTTTGCAGGGAAAACATAATGAGTCACATTCGTCAGAAGAAGCTTTTTCCAGGGTTTACCACCCGGTAAGCAGAGCGTCGATTCCTCCTTAAGAGGCTTTTAAACGCCTCAGTCATCAGGCTGAAATAAACGGCCTTTAAAGACCTTCAGCTAAATAAAAACACTAGAAAACAGAATCACCCCCCTCCCCCACATGCTGCTGAACTGACAGACACCTCCAGCCACTCAGCTGCTGGTTCTGAGCCCCTAAACGGGCCAGATGGTCCCTTCTGTGAAGACCAGAACCGCTCAGACAGACCAGGACCAGAAAGACCAGAACCGCTCAGACAGTCCAGGACCAGCAGGACCAGAACCGCTCAGACAAACCAGGACCAGAAAGACCAGAACCGCACAGACAGTCCAGGACAAGAAGGACCAGTACCACTAAGACAGACCAGGACCAGAAAGACCAGAACCGCACAGACAGTCCAGGACCAGAAAGACCAGAACCACACAGACAGACCAGGTCCAGAAGGTGCAGAACATCTCAGACAGACCAGGACCAGAAAGACCAGAACCACTAAAACAGTCCAGGACCAGAAAGACCACCAGAAAGACCAGAACCACACGGACAGACCAGGTCCAGAAGGTGCAGAACATCTCAGACAGACCAGGACCAGAAAGACCAGAACCGCTTTGCCCGACCAGGACCAGGAAAACCAGAACCGCTCAGACAGTCCAGGACCAGAAAGACCAGAACCACACAGACAGACCAGGACCAGAAAGACCAGAACCACACAGACAGACTAGATCCAGAAAGACCAGAAGCGCTCAGACAGACCAGGACCAGAAAGACCAGAACCACACAGACAGACTAGATCCAGAATGGATTATCAGAATAGAATGGATTATCAGAGTAGAATGGATTATCAGCATAGAATGGATTATCAGCATAGAATGGATTATCAGAATAGAATGGATTATCAGAATAGAATGGATTATCAGAATAGAATGGATTATCAGCATAGAATGGATTATCAGAATAGAATGGATTATCAGCATAGAATGGATTATCAGCATAGAATGGATTATCAGCATAGAATGGATTATCAGAATAGAATGGATTATCAGAATAGAATGGATTATCAGCATAGAATGGATTATCAGCATAGAATGGATTATCAGAATAGAATGGATTATCAGAATAGAATGGATTATCAGAGTAGAATGGATTATCAGCATAGAATGAATAGGATGGATTATCAGAATAGAATGGATTATCAGAATAGAATGGATTATCAGAATAGAATGGATTATCAGCATAGAATGGATTATCAGCATAGAATGGATTATCAGAATAGAATGGATTATCAGAATAGAATGGATTATCAGCATAGAATGGATTATCAGAATAGAATGGATTATCAGCATAGAATGGATTATCAGAATAGAATGGATTATCAGCATAGAATGGATTATCAGAGTAGAATGGATTATCAGAGTAGAATGGATTATCAGCATAGAATGGATTATCAGAATAGAATGGATTATCAGAATAGAATGGATTATCAGCATAGAATGGATTATCAAAATAGAATGGATTATCAGAATAGAATGGATTATCAGCATAGAATGGATTATCAGCATAGAATGGATTATCAGAATAGAATGGATTATCAGCATAGAATGGATTATCAGAATAGAATGGATTATCAGCATAGAATGGATTATCAGCATAGAATGGATTATCAGCATAGAATGGATTATCAGAATAGAATGGATTATCAGAATAGAATGGATTATCAGCATAGAATGGATTATCAGCATAGAATGGATTATCAGAATAGAATGGATTATCAGAGTAGAATGGATTATCAGCATAGAATGAATAGAATGGATTATCAGAATAGAATGGATTATCAGAATAGAATGGATTATCAGCATAGAATGGATTATCAGCATAGAATGGATTATCAGAATAGAATGGATTATCAGAATAGAATGGATTATCAGCATAGAATGGATTATCAGAATAGAATGGATTATCAGCATAGAATGGATTATCAGAATAGAATGGATTATCAGCATAGAATGGATTATCAGAGTAGAATGGATTTTCAGCATAGAATGGATTATCAGAATAGAATGGATTATCAGCATAGAATGGATTATCAGCATAGAATGGATTATCAGAATAGAATGGATTATCAGCATAGAATGGATTATCAGCATAGAATGGATTATCAGCATAGAATGGATTATCAGAATAGAATGGATTATCAGAATAGAATGGATTATCAGCATAGAATGGATTATCAGAATAGAATGGATTATCAGCATAGAATGGATTATCAGAATAGAATGGATTATCAGAGTAGAATGGATTATCAGCATAGAATGGATTATCAGCATAGAATGGATTATCAGCATAGAATGGATTATGAGAATAGAATGGATTATCAGAATAAAATGGATTATCAGCATAGAATGGATTATCAGCATAGAATGGATTATCAGCATAGAATGGATTATCAGAATAGAATGGATTATCAGAGTAGAATGGATTATCAGCATAGAATGGATTATCAGCATAGAATGGATTATCAGAA